TTAACTTTTAGGTATGAATATAGATATATCCTCCGTTTCAGAATGAGAAAACAATGCTTAATGTTTTCTGATATGGAGGAAGTAGATTTGAAGATATTTTGGTTGTCACTGTGTACTGAGCTTAAGTTAAAAAGCCATGATGACAGCAGAAGAAAAGCAAAGATTGCAGTAGCCATGACGCTTTCACGACAATAACAGTTGTAATGCTGACATACTGATATTGCAAGAGTGCAAGACAACGAAGCCCTTGACTGGAACTGCTAACGCAGTGCTATTCTCTCAATTTCTACCAATCTACCATTGCTCGAATGATTGCATCGTGTATGATTTCTAACATCAGATTCAAAATCATCTAAGTTAGTGCCTAATGGTGGATCGAATTGATCAGTCGATCGAGGATGTCAGTATGTCACAAACGACGCCATTTTGGTCTTTTCAAAGTTAATAAGGCAAATAATTGAAACAAATGGTGTCTTGGTGGTTCAAACGGTGTTGTCTCCCGAGGAAATGATAGCTCGCGATTGACACATCTGGTGAACAAACAAAAAATATGTGACTGCTCGAGATGGGCATGTTCTAGCGTGTGCTGTTCGCTCCGGAACGACATAGGTTTTAGGTTTTTTTTTATTATTTTTTTAGACAAGGGTAATTTTTATCTGGCCTTTACATCTAACCAGATATATGCAGCTTTTTTACATTATGAACTTGACTCCTCAAATAGCCCAATCCAAAATTTGTTCATATTGAGATTTGAACTCAGAACTTTAAGATACTACTCAGGTCACTGCAACCACTAAACTATCATGACACCAAGACACCGTATATTAATTTCTCATGATAATATTTTAGATATTTTTTCTACTTTATAATAATTAATTAATTCATTTGTGCTTTCAAATAATTGCCACAAATTATTTATCTATTCAGTCATGCAACACAACATAATTATTGTTTGTTGAAAATCCCCTAGACTATTAATTGTTTTACATGGAAAAATTGAGAAAAACAATGGGACGGTGTACCGTTTTAACGGTATAGTTTATAATTTATACTTACCAATCACTCACCGATTCTTTTTCTCTCTAAAAGCGTGTCGTGTGTTATCCTTTCACATGAAGACTGCTGACTAGTGACGACTGACGAGAGGTCTCTTTTCTCCTACAGTACAAAATAGCTATGAAATACTCTAGTACATCACTACTTGTACACCTCTTTAGGTCCATATGGGTCTGACACCTGCTTCAATTAGCAAAGTTAGAATTAAGCACTAGAGCTAGTAGCATGAGCCTAAACAAAGCATGTCAGCAGCACGTGAGGAAGTTTCGCTGTACTTTCTGGCCTAGCTATGCATGGTCCATCTTTTTATTTGATTGTTGAATACCCATAAATATTAGAATTAGTGGTGTCATATCTGAAGTCTCATGCCATCACACCCTATATTTGGTATCAGATCCGCTACTAAGATGTATCAACCCAGTATCTAGGTATTGGATCCGGTACTCATAGGTATCAAACCCAACCTAGGTATCGAATCCGGTACTTATAGGTATCAGACCCAATATCTAGGTATTAGACTTGGTATTGATAGGTATCATACTCGGTACCTGGGTATCGGACCCAGTACTTACAGGTATCGGAACTGATACTCATAGGTATTAGATTAGATACCCGATACCTGGGTATCCAATCTGATACTCATAGGTATCATACGCGATACCGGATTCGGTGCTCATAGGTATCAAACCTGGCCTAGGTATCAAATCTGATACTCATAGGTATAAGCCCCGATACTTAGGTATCAGACTTGGTATTCATAAGTATCATACTCGGTACCTGGGTATCCGACCCGTTACGCATAGGTATTGGAACAAATACTCATAGGTATAAGATCAGATACCCAATACCCGGGTATCCGATTGGTACTCATAGGTATCAGACACGATACCTAGTTATCGGATCCGGTACTTATAGGTATCAGACCCGATAACTCGGCATCAGATCTTGTATTTATAGGTTTCATACTTGGTACCTAGGTATTTGACCCAGTACCTGGATATCAGATATGATAATCTAGCATCTATGTATCACATACTAGAGTTTCTAAGATGTGGTATAACCAAGAGCCTAACATGACATATCTAATTAGAATCCATTGTATCCATATATAATATAGGTAATTATTTATCTGGTCTAATCCGTGCATGGTATAGGACACATGCAAATAGATGCAACCAATCTTAGACACATAGCTAGGCTACTAGGCTTAATAAGTACCTTACATAGCTAGGGTACGGGACTACTAGTAGCTATTATAGGGATTTGGCATGCACAGCAAGCTAGTAGTACCTCCGGTTTTATTTCCTAGCTAGGCTAGTATCAAAGGCAGGACTTAGCCATGCTAGGTACTAGCTATCTGTCAGGAACAAGACTATACACTGATACACAAAACAAACGTGCGTGATGATAATCCTAGCAGCACGCGACATGCTCGGGAGAAGCCAGCACGTGGAGCCGCGGCATGGGAGATAAGTGGTATACCGTTGTGTAGTCTTTCTCGGAAAAATTATATAAACATTATATTGTAAAGCTTTTGCGACGACAAACTTGGCTATATCATTTTCATATATCCACAATCAACATTATGGATTAATAATAACTATAATAATTATGATAGAAAATTATCTTGTATTTCTCCGACGTATCCTTAAAAAAAGTATAAAATATGAAAGGGCCAGCTGTTGGCCTAAATATTGCCAGTACATGCACAACTAAATATTGGAACTTTATATTTTTGCGATTCAACTCTCCAACTTCTCTCCAACTTGCCAGCGTCGTTGCTATTTTCTATTAGCAAAATCATAGGTTCATAGACGTGAAATTAAATGTTAGTCCTCCATTATGCTCTAAGGAAAAATACAAAATAAAATCAACACCAAACCAAATCCATGCACCCAAAAAACTTAAAATAAAAACCCAACCTCCAAATAAAATCAAACAACCACAGTAATTCTACATAAGGCTAAAAAAGAACTGGCGATCACTACTACTCCCTCCATCCAAACATGTAAGACTTATCTCTTCTTTCTTTCTATAAAGTAATGCCCACTAAACACCTAAGGGCCTTTTTATTTGTAGGAAAAGTGTGGAAAATTTGGAGGATTTCAATCCTATGGAAGCCTTTGAAACAAAGAATTGAATCCTATTCTATCCTTTAAATTCCTATGGAATATGGAATGAGTAATCCTATAGAGATTTTGGAGAAAAATTAGCAAGAGGTCCAACCTCTTGAAAAAAATTCCTTTAGTCTATCTTTTTCATCCGATTCCTGTGTTTTTTCCTATGATCCAATCAAACGGTCATTCCTGTGTTTTTCTCGTATTTTTCAATCATTTGTTTTATATGTGCATTCTTGTCAGAATCTTTTGTTTTTCCTAGTCCTGCATTTTTCCATTCCTCCTTTTTTTTCCTATTCCTACGATTCAAAAGGCCCATAAAGCTCAACATGTAAACATAGTATTTATTATCACTCCAAAAACCTACATGCAAACATGCCACATCAACCCATTAAGCACACAAAGCTCAATATGCAACCATATATTAATTATATCTACAATTTACTTCATTCTAAAACTAAACATACATATGCTAGATCATTATTCTTGAATCATTTTCATAATATTTCAATCCAAATCATTTCATCATTTCTCTATTATCTAATATATATCCCGCAGTAAATTGCGGGGCATCATCTAGTTTCTTTTATTATCAAGACTAAAGAAAAATTAACTCATCTCTCATCTCCCATGTAAAAAAAGAACTATATACTTACATACATAAATATTAAGACGGCTGCTTGCTTCCAATCAATTATTTTAGAACATGCAGACTAAAAATATGATCATATTGTAGGATCGAAATAGCAAGAAACTAAACCAACCAGAAGTGATTGAATGGTTGTGGTACCAAAAACTGAAACTTTTAGCGGAATTAAAGGTTACCCTCAAATTCGACGGTGATCGGTCCAACCGGAGTAGATGCGCCGGTCTAACCGCTCAATATCCTCCGGTCTGACCGATGGAGTTGGTCCGGTCTAACCGCCCAATGCGCCACTGTCTCCTGTTGCCGCCACCGGTTTGACCGCCGGGTATCTATTGGTCTAACCACCGATTAGACCATTGAACCCGAACAAACACAAATCGAACATCTCTCGAAGTAAATTGAAACTTTATTACTTCTCTTTGTATTTACAAAATGCAACAACATCACTCATGAAAATCTCAACTAAACTCGAAACCCTAACTTTTCTCTAAACTCAACTCTCTCAAAAATCAACACCAAGAGGCTATACCCTCCCTCTCTATTTATCTGAGGTAAACAGTCTAAAGCCACGAGCCAACCTAGTACAAGAAGTCCTAATCCCTTAGAAAACTTTACAAACTCCAATTGTACTAAATTTGGACTCCCTCCAAATTCGACTCCGCATTCCATACGCACACAATATCTCCCTTGTATGCCATATAGAATTTTCACCAACCACGTGCATTGATCTTTAGCCTAAGCATCCCGCATGATATCTTGATCATCTGGACGTCATCTTCTCCCAAGTCGACTCCCGATCCATCACCGACAACACTCTTCCGAAGCATTAAGAATCACCTACACATGCATCAACCAAGAAACCATATCCGAGCACAAGTTCTCACCAACTTGACTCATTGTTAAGAAGCAATAGTATTACATACACATAGTATCCATCTAGAAGTCATAAACATGAATTATCCACGTATATCCAAACAATTGACCATAAACCAAAACCGACACAACATCAGCCAGTCAGACTACGTGCTGGCTGGTTTGACCGCACATATACCGCCGGTTTGACCAACTACCACAACCCGGTCTGACCGAATACACTGTGTCAGCAGTAATCCCTATTCATCACCTAAAAATTCTAATTATATCCAAAATCACTTCGGTAATAATCTCCAAATATCAAAACCAATAATCTCATATACCAATAGTTCATCACAAAATAACAATCAAACACGCTTTGGTTTTACACATATATTTTGGAAAAAACAAAACATGAAATATTCTTAATACTTTTGAATGGAGGGACTAATTACCAGCTATCAGTCTCCTAGAGGAAAAAAATGATTATTTGATGTTATAGAGATTACCACTTTGATTATGCATGTGATTTGCCATTTTACAGATTATCTCTTTTACGCATGATCCGACCCAAAATCTGAGGTGAAAGCGATGGAGAGGAGTACGTTCTCTGAGCTTCATCAAGCAAATTCCGCCATAAAAAACCGCGCGGCGCCACGTCGCGCGCGTCATTGGCAACAACTGGGCTCGGCAATGGCCGGCCGGAGCGGCGAGAACGGCGGCGCCGGCGGCGGCGACCTGTCGGAGCCTCTGCTCGGCAAGGAGGCGCCTCGCCGGTACTCGGAGCTGTACGGCGCCGGCGTGCTCAGCCGGCTGTCCTTCTCGTGGCTGAACCCGCTGCTCCGCCTCGGCCGCTCCAAGGCGCTCGACCTCGCCGACGTCCCGCTCATCGCCTCCGAGGACGGCGCGGCGCGCGCGTCGGAGAGGTTCGCCGAGGCATGGAGCCTCCACGGCCATGGCAAGGACGGCGGCGGTGGCGGCCGCCTCGTCGGCGTGCTGCTCAGGTGCTTCCTCGGGGAGATCATGCTCACCGGCTTCTACGCGCTCGTCAAGACGCTGGCCATCGCCGTGTCGTCCGGTACAGCAGCCACAAGGCAGAGGAGGAGGAGCGCCGGGACCTCGCCGCCGCCGGCGCATCGGCGGCGGTGGCGCTGGTCGGCTCGCTGCTGGCGATCAAGCTCGCCGAGTCGCTGTCGCAGCGGCACTGGTTCTTCAGCTCGCGGCGGACGGGGATGCGCGTCCGGTCGGCGCTGATGGCGGCCGTGTTCCGGAAGCAGCTCCGGCTGTCGGCGCGCGCGCGGCGGCGCCACTCCGCCGGCGAGGTCGTCGGCTACGTCGCCGTCGACGCGTACCGCCTCGGCGACGCCGTCAGCTGGCTCCACACGTCGTGGAGCTCGCCGCTGCAGCTCGCCCTCGCCGTCGCCACCCTCCTCTGGGCGCTCCGCCTCGGCGCGCTCCCGGGCCTCGTGCCCCTCGTCGCCTTCGGCTTCCTCAACGTGCCGTTCGCCAGGGCCCTCCAGGGCTACCAGTCCAGGTTCATGGCGGCGCAGGACGGCCGGCTCCGGTCGACGTCGGAGGCCCTCGCCGGCATGAGGGCCATCAAGCTCCAGTCATGGGAGGGCGCGTTCCGGCGAGCCGTCGAGTCGCGCCTCGGCGGCGAGTTCGCGTGGCTGAGGGAGGCGCAGCTGAAGAAGGCCTACGGCGCCGTGCTCTACTGGGCGGCGCCCACCGTGGTGTCCGCCGTCATGTTCGCCGCCACGGCCGCCGCCGGCAGCGCGCCGCTCGACGCCGGCACGGTGTTCACCGCGCTCGCCGCGCTCAGGGCCATGTCGGAGCCGGTGAGGATGCTGCCGGAGGCCATGACGATGATGATCCAGTACAAGGTGTCGCTGGAACGCATCGGGAGGTTCCTCGCCGAGGAGGAGATCAAACAGGACGACGTGACGAGAGCGGCGACGACGACGACGACGACGAAGAATTCGGATGCGGGAATCATCCATGTCCAGGATGGAAGCTTCAGCTGGAGTGGGAGTGAAGCTGAGCTGACACTGAAGAATGCTCACCTCAGCATTCGCAGAGGGGAGAAGGTGGCAGTTTGTGGCCCGGTTGGCTCAGGGAAATCTTCACTCCTCTGTGCATTGCTTGGGGAGATACCTAGAACATCAGGAATGGTAAGTGATAGAAAAAATGAGATGAATTTTGAAGAAAAAAGAACAGCTTTTCGCATACAGATTGAATCATCATGTTCTTTAGTTTTGTAATCCAAGTAGTTCATAGCAAATTCAGAAAAAAAAAATGATGTGTCCTCTTTCCTTTCACAAACATACAAAATCAAATCCCATCTTCATATATAGATTTTTTTTTCTTCAAAATTAAGTAAAACTTTACATCCAATTTTGACTTCAAAAAGAAAATATTTTCCTTTTGTAATCCAAGTTTGAATTTAGTTTGACTGATGACATTATAATCTAGTATTTAAAATCTGTTCATAATTTCTCATAATTATTTAGATTTCATGCAAAAACAATAGGGCATTATCACTAAAAACTTTCTACTTTCCCCTGAAAAAAGACTCAAGATAATCTTCGACTCTATATTTATCTCCTTTCTTTTCATTTTACCATGAAAGGAGAAAACACAAGATTGTCTTGTCATGTTCATATACAAAAAAAAAAATGACAATGACAAATCTATGTTTTCTAAAATATGAACATGACAAAACTACAATCAATTTTCAGGTGGAGTTGTATGGCACAGTGGCGTATGTTTCCCAGAACTCATGGATAGAGTGGCACTGTTCGCGACAACATCCTCTTCGGGAAGCCCTTCGAGAACTTCGACCATGGAGACCTGACAGAGATCGGCCAGAGAGGAATCAACATGAGCGGTGGTCAGAAGCAGAGGATTCAGCTGGCCAGAGCCGTGTACAGTGATGCAGATGTGTACCTCCTAGATGATCCTTTCAGCGCGGTCGATGCGCACACCGCTGCGGTTCTGTTCTATGTAAGAGGTGCTCCTTGACCTGCATCCATGGATGCACTCCCTGATGAAAAAAAAGTTCTAATCAGTGGCAATGTTCTTGCTGGATTGTGTAATGACAGCACTTTCAGAGAAGACTGTAGTTCTTGTGACTCACCAGGTTGAATTTCTCACCGAGACTGATCGGATTCTGGTAAGTTGATCTTCAGACTATCATTTAGCCATATCAAAGGGTATCAAAGATCCTTCAGATGAATGATCTGCCATTGTTTCAACAGGTAATGGAAGATGGTTATGTCAAACAACAAGGTGTTTACGCAGAGCTAATGGAATCCGGGACAGCATTTGAGAAGCTTGTCTCAGCTCACAAGTCCTCAATCACAGCATTGGATGATTCCAGCCAGCAAAGCCAAGTCCAGGAGCAAAATGTGACTGATGAAAATACATCAGGACAACCTTCTGCAAAATACATCAGTGATATTGATTCAATCTCTGCAAAAGGCCAACCTTCTGCAACCCAGCTCACAGAAGAGGAAGAAAAGGAGATTGGAGACCTTGGATGGAAGCCATATAAGGACTACATCAATGTGTCCAAGGGAATCACACATCTCTGTGTGATGGGTGTTACTCAGGTGCTCTTCACATCCTTCCAGATGATGGCCACATTCTGGCTGGCAGTGGCTGTCCAGATGAACGTCAGTAGTGCTCTCCTGGTAGGGGCATATTCAGGGCTGTCCATCTTGAGCTGCTGCTTTGCCTATATCAGAACCCTTTATGCAGCTAAGTTGGGGCTCAAGGCCTCCAAAGCATTCTTTACCGGCCTAATGGATTCTGTGTTCAAGGCCCCCATGTCTTTCTTTGATTCAACACCGGTTGGAAGAATCTTGACAAGGGTATGGACTTCAAAATAAGATCATAAGAGCTAACCTTTAGATTCTCCATGAACAATTATTATAGGTCAAGTGGTTGCTAGTACCTGACTGTAGCCCTTTTATTCTCTGCAGGCATCTTCAGATTTAAGCATCCTGGACTTTGACATACCTTACTCCGTGGCTTATGTCGTCGTTGGCGCTAGTGAGCTCATCACAACAATACTGGTTACAGGGGCTGTAACTTGGCAAGTTCTAATTGTAGCAATCCCAGTTACAATTACTGTGGCATATGTTCAGGTCAGTCCCCTAATTGCTGCAAACAACTACCATCGTTAATTAAACCAGTAGATGAATAAATAGATCAAATGTTACCTTCTGAACTCAAGATCTCACGTTTGTTTTAAAACCTTTGACGAGGCACTACGTGGCCTCAGCAAGAGATCTAGCAAGAATCAATGGAACAACAAAGGCACCAGTCATGAACTATGCGGCGGAATCAATTCTTGCTGTGGTGACCATCAGGTCTTTTGGGGAAACAGACAGGTTCATCCGCAATAACCTACTTCTTATCGATACCGACGCGACATTGTTCTTCCACACAGTTGCGGCGCAAGAGTGGGTTCTCATAAGAGTAGAAGCACTGCAGAGCCTGACACTACTAACAGCAGCACTGCTCCTTGTTTTGGCTCCTCCAGGAGCAGTCTCACCAGGTATGTATGTACATAAGCCATTACACCTTAACATGTTCATCTTACAATGGTATTTTCAGTATGCTGAACAATGAACGCTTCCAGTTTTTTTTTTTAGATAATGGATTAATTAAAACCCGGCCTCTACATCCAACAAGGATGTATAACACTTCCAATGTTAACTTTTCCAGGCTTTGCGGGTCTCAGCCTCTCCTTTGCTTTGTCGCTGACAGCAGTTCAGGTTTTCCTGACAAAGTTCTACTCCTACATGGAAAACTATATTATTTCAGTTGAGAGAATAAAGCAGTATATGCACCTTCCACCAGAGCCTCCAGCCATTATACCAGAGAATAGGGCTCCAAGTTCATGGCCACAGGAGGGACAAATTGACCTGCAAGATCTCAAGGTAAAACTACAGTAAGTTGCTTTCAATAGAGAAGGCCACAGAACATTTTTAAAAAATGTTTGCAGTAACTTACACACTTATACTTATGAGCAGGTCAGATACCGCCCAAACATGCCTCTTGTCCTCAAAGGAATCACTTGCACATTTCCTGCTGGAAACAAAATTGGGGTTGTAGGGAGAACGGGAAGTGGGAAATCGACACTCATCAGCTCATTGTTCCGCCTCGTTGATCCTGCGGGTGGGAGGATACTCATTGACAACTTGGATATCAGCTCTATTGGTCTCAAGGATCTAAGAACAAAACTGAGCATTATCCCCCAAGAACCTACACTTTTCAGAGGAACTGTGCGCAACAACTTGGATCCTCTTGGTCTGCATTCCGATGAAGAGATATGGGAGGTAAGAAAAATTACATTTGTGCAAAACTCAGATATAAGACGTGATAAAAATCTTACACAATAGTGCGGTTTCTAATAGAATCACTTTACAAAAATCTTCTCAAAACATAAGCAATAGAAGAACTTGAGCTCAATCATGATCCTGAACTTAACCAGACTGGTACCTTTGTTTAGACCAAAATGGTTTCATGAATTGATTAAACTAACACTGAACGTTTCAGGCCTTGGAGAAGTGTCAACTACAGACAGCCATTCGCAGCACACCTGCTCTTCTTGATACAGTAGGTAAGTGACATCAATTTCAGAGGAAAAAAGTTACCATGCAAAATATTTTTAGAAATCTCAAACAATTTGTTCATTTGGCCAATTGTAGTGAGTGATGATGGCAGTAACTGGAGTGTTGGGCAGCGGCAGCTCTTCTGTCTTGGCAGAGTTCTCCTCCGTAGGAACAAGATTCTTGTGTTAGATGAAGCAACGGCATCCATCGACTCCGCAACTGATGCAATCATTCAGAGGGTCATCAGGCAGCAATTCTCAAGTTGCACTGTGGTAACTATCGCTCACAGGGTTCCAACTGTAACAGACAGTGACAAGGTCATGGTACTTTCATATGGTAAGTTACTACACACACGCATATCAATCTGAATATCTGAGGAAGGTTCTGGTCCAGTCATCGCTCATCCGAACCTTCCTCTGATGGCCCTGTCATCCAAACTGCACATATATAAACTGCACATATTTGGATGATTCAAGCTGATGGCCCTTCTGTTTGTGCAGGGAAGCTTATAGAATATGACACGCCCGCCAAGTTGTTGGAAGATAAACAAACAGCCTTTGCTAAACTTGTGGCTGAATATTGGGCTAATTCCAAGCGGAATGCAACATGATTCTACCGTTCATTGTCAGAGCACGATAAAGAAGATGAGTAATTCAATCATGAAATACTCCCTCCGTTTCACAATATAAGACCTTCTAGCATTGCCTATATTCAGATTCATTAACATCTATATGAATATGGGCAATGCTAGAAAGCCTTACATTGTGAAACAGAGGAAGTAGAAGACTGGTAGAAGGGCCTTATCACACTCCTTTAGTGGTTTGTGGAATTAGAAAGACATCAACAAAAACATTTTCTTGTCAGTGAGACAGAATTTTGATCCCAAGATCGGTGCTTGATGCCTTGCACAGTACAACAATATGCAAATTCTTTGCACGTTAGTTATTTCAGCAGATGCGGGGGAGACGGAGAATTCAATTAGGACCAAATATGGTACTATGGTAATTAAGCAATTCTACGGTCCTTGAGGAGGTACCATGAGGTATCAAAAATATAGTGTAAAATTTGGTACCTTATAGTACCTAGGTACCAAGAGGTACCAAATTTACAATAGAAAAAGTGGTACCTCATGGCACCTCCTCAAGGACCATAAAATTGCTCATGGTAATTACATTGTGCAAAATAATCATGTTGTGTTTGATGTAATCTTAACTTAGATGTCGTTAAGCACATATTCTGCTGTTTTACTTAGTTATAGCTTGAGAGGTCCCTAAACTCTGTATCACTTAGGTAAGACTATCAAATAATTAGGCTAGTTTGCAGGCTAAAGTAGAACAGCTAAAAAAGTTTAATTAGGAACCACAATAACAGACTTGCAGGGAAATGCTAGGCTAAAATAAAGTTTAGGGACACTGGTAAAATGATCGGACAAGCTCCTCAATTCAATGTAGATTATTTTTTTTTTGAGGAGTAAACGGCAGGAGCTCTGCCAATTTCATTAAGGAGTAGAGAAAAAGCAACAAAGGTTTTTTACAAACCCAGATTACAAAGGATCCCAAGCATTCTTCTATCAAGGCAACCCGGGGAGATAAGGGGCTAAAATTTTAAGAAAATGAGAAGCAACTAGAAAGGGAGTATGGGCACTACTCATCTAGAACATGCGCTCCAACGTAGGCTTTGCACATAGCGATAATTGAATCAACCACTTGCATCACTGTACTATAAGTACCATTGAAGATTCTTGCGTTGCGCTGTAGCCAAATGCCCCAAGCTGTGTAGATGAAGAGGCCATCAAAATTTCTTCTTTGTTCTTTGGCCATCTCTCTTCTGCAGGTTGACCACCATCGTAGCATATCTCCAACGAAGGTGGAAGCCACATGCATGTGGAGCCCTGCCTTTTGCCAGATGTGTCTCCATACCTGTTTAGCAAAGGCGCATTCCATGAGGAGGTGCATTGCTGTTTCCGGTTCTACTCCACACAAAGGACAAATGTGGCTGTTGTCCCATCCACGAAGCTGGAGTTTGTCGGCTGTGAGGATCTTTCTGTGGATCATGAGCCAACCAAAGAATTTGCATTTGTTTTCTATCTTCGCCTTCCAGAAGAAATCAGACCTATTGTCTTGTATGCCTCCAACGAACTGGATCCTGTAGGCGGAGTTTGCTGAATATGATCCATTTGGAGTCCATCTCCAAGCTATCGCATCGTCTATGCCTTCCTGGAACTCCACCTGTTGGATTTGGTGTCATAGAAGGATGAATTCCCTAACCTGTGTTGTGGTATTCATTCGTCTCATCTGTTTCAACCAGTGGTTCCCTTGTATCTCCTATGCCACTGATCTGTTCTTTCTCGTGGCCAACTGATAGAGGGAAGGGTAAAGTTCTTTCAGGGGTGATCCGTTCAACCATCTGTCATGCCAGAATTTTGATTTGTTGCCATTTCCAAGGGTTATCGTGGTCGAAGCTCTGAACAGCTGCTTGTCTGTTTCATCACAAGGAAGACTCGATCCCTGCCAAGGCTTGTTGACGGCGGTCCATTCCTGCCAAAGCCAGCGGAGTCTTAAAGAGCGACCAAAAAGTTCGAGGTTTGTTATACCAAGGCCTCTCATGTTTTTATGGTCTACAGACTCTCTTCCAGTTAACTAGGCAGTGTCCCCCCTGTGTCTGTTCTGACCCTGTCCAGAGGAAGCCCCTACAAATTTTGTCGATCTTTTTTTCAGCCCATTTTCTAAGGGGGAAAACAGTGAGGTGATAGGTCGGGAGGGCGGAGAGGGTAGACTTTATCAGAACCGTCCGGCCAGTCTTGTTTAGTAACTTTCCTTTCCATGTTGGGAGCCTAGCTGAGAACCTATCGATGAGAGGTTGAACATCTGATTTTCTGAGTTTCCTGATGTGGAGTGGAAGTCCTAGATAGGTACAAGGGAAGTGTTTCATCTGTGCCGGGAAGGGGTAGAGAATATCCTGTAAGTCGAGGGTGTCACATCTAATGGCATAGACTTCGCTTTTCGATAAATTGGTCACCATGCCTATCGCGAGGCCGAAATTTTGAATTATCATTTGGACCTTTTGGAGTTCCTGTTTATCTGGTCTAAGGAACACTACAGCGTCATCTGCATATAAGGCCATATTGAAACGAGCAGTCCGCCTGTGGAGCGGTTGGAGGAGACCTGCTTCCTGTGCTGCGGCAAGGAGTTTTTGCAGAGGAAAGCCCTAAATCGTAAACTCTAATCCCCTCTATCCAATCAGCAACGCATGGAACAGATCCAGCTCCCTACACGACCAATGCGCGTCAGGGATTTCACTATCCCATCAACTAATGACTTGCAATCGCAAGAACAGGAAACAAAACGAGCAAATTTCATCCGAGCAAAGTAAAAAAAAAAAAAAAAACTAACGGGGAATGCCGTCATTCGAGATCTACTAGAAAAACCCACACGGATGAGATGAATCAAAGCAGGAGAAAGATTTGAGATGGTGTAGCAGGGTGACGTACCGGTGTCGTGAGGGGGGATCATCTGTCCGCCGGCGACGGCGATCGATGTCGCCGCCGTCGACGAAGCCGCCGGCGGCGGAAGTCGACGGCTTGTGCACTGATCTGGGCCGAACTTGACCCAAAGGCCTTGTTATAATGGGCCTTAAATGTCAGCCCATTTACAAGTATGGGCTTCGTGGAAGCCACGATCCGGCCCATATATGGGCCTTAAATCTCAGCCCATTTACACACGGAAAAAGTACACCAAGGTCCCTCAATTTGTCATCGAATTACAAAATCGTCATCCAACCGCAAAACCCGATATATGATATCCCTCATCTTACAAAACCTTTCACTTTACGTCCTTCGGTGGTTTTGACCCCAGTTTTGTCCGAAGTGGCGGCTAAGTCAGCGTGGGACCCACGTGGGCCCCACATGTTAGGATGCCACGTCAGCACCCCCTCTCTCTCTTTCCCCTCCTCCCCCTTCATCCTCCTCTCTCTCTCTCTCCTCTCACTTTCTCCTCTCAAGGATCAAGGCCGGCAAGGGAGGAGGGCCGACGTGGCGGGCACGCCGGCGGCCGATGGGAGAGAAAGGCTTGGTCGATTGAGCACCGCCGCCACGTCCATCTCCACCTCTGCTTCTCTCCCCGCCCTGCACATGGATGCGGCGAGCCTGTGCGAGGTCTTTCTTGCATCGGCCACTACTCCTCTCTCCACTTCTCTTCTTCTCTCTCCTCTCCACGGGCAGTAGCGTTGGAGAGGAGCTAGGCGTGGGCTGGTTCAGCAGGTGCGGGCGACGGGGGAGGAGCTAGGCGGCGACAACGACCAAGGAGCTAGGCGCGGGCGGCTACTGGCGGGGAAGAGATGGGCGGCGACGACAGCAGGTGAGGAGCTAGGCACAGGCGGTGGCCGAAGGGGGAAGAGCTGGGCCGATGGCGGGAGGAGCTAGGCGCGGGCGGCTGCCGGTGGGGGAAAGAGATGAGCGGCGGCGACAGCAGGTGAGGAGCTGGGCGCGGGCAGTGGCCAAAGGGGGAAGAGCTGGAGCGACGGCACGGAAGGAGCTGCGCACGGGCGGTGGCCGAATGGGGAGAACTGGGCAACAACGGCAGGGAAGGAGCTGGGTGCGAGTGGCGGCTAGCGGCGACCGGTCGTGCTCTTCTTCACCGCCTCCGCCATGCTCTCCTTCGGCTAACGGTGGGGGTTGGGGGAGAAGCTCACACACCCCTCCCACGACAACGTCGACATCGACTGCTCCGTCGCGGCCAAGTACGACGACGGCTTAGTCGACGCCGTCAACATGCGTCGCTTCGCTGATGACAACGACGAGCACCGCGCGGAGGTGGACTTCAAGCGGCTCGTGCCGGAGATGGAGGTGGGGTGGCCAGCTGCTCCCCCGCCGGCTACCGCCGCAAGCAGCTCCCCCCTCCCACTCGCACCCAGCTGCTCCTCCGCCACCCGCGCGCCTCTCTTCTCCCGCCGGCAGCCGCCCCGCCCCTCCACGCCTTTACGCCCCCAACGGCGAAGAGCCCCTCTGCCTCCATGCTCACCCATGCCGTCGCCTTCGGCTTCCACTTTTGGGTCGGCGTCGGCCTCCCCTCCCGTGTTGCAGCCGCCGCCTCTCCGCCATCGCGCTCGCCCGCCAACGCCACCTCACCCTGCTGTCGCCCTCCCCTTCTCCTGTGTCTCCGCCGCCGCATCGTCGGCCGGCCGTCGGACCTCCTCGCCCCGGCGACCTCCTCCCCACCGCTGGCCGGCCTGCCTAGTCTAGAGAAAAGAGTGAGAGAGAGAGAGGAGGAAAGGAGAGGAAGGGAGAGGCTGGCCTGCCGATGTGGGGTCCACGTGGGTCCCATGCTGGTTCAGCCACCACGTTGGATAAAACCGGGGTTAAAACCGCTGAGAGGCCTAGTTTGAACTGGTTTTATAAGTTAGGGGATGAGCGTTGTATCCGGTTTCGTGGTTAGAGGACAATTTTGTAAGTCGATGACAAGTTGGTCTCCCGTTTCGTCAGTTTAGTTGGGAGGAATGATCTTGATGCATGCCAGCTAGCCGTGCTATCTAGCTAGGCACCCATGGCTGGCGCTGCATGCCGCTGTTTGTATACGATGACATGAGAGACGAGACAATGTGACAATGCAAGTTGCAAGGGTTGTGACAAAGTGACGACGACGAGGAGTCGAATAGAGCCAAAACCCCTGCAGCATGCAACACGGCGCGCCGGGAAAGGAGAAGAAGAAATTGATCAAGACGGACCACCGCCGATCTACCGGTCGACAAAGGGACGGCGCGTGCGCATGCGGCACGCACACCTAGATCGACCGATCGCCTGGAAGACGGCGGCGGCGGCGGCGGCGGCGGCGGGCGATGATCGATATCTATCTGTTCCCAGCGGCAACCAGATCAGCGCCGCACCCCTTGTCCCTCCCCCATTGGACCTCCCCTCTTCCGCTGCTCGGTCACACACATGTATGCATGGAGGCATCCAGATAGAGCTGTGGGCGACAGATGAGCATAGTTGATATGATGATGATAGCTAGCTACGCTAAGATCCAATGACCTGATGCCCGCACGCACGCAGTAAAAGATTTTCCGGGGTGACGGGCCCTTTTGTTTTCTGGTGGACAGTAACTGAAATCGCACGGGAAAATAAGGGACCAGCGCCGGGCTGTCGCCGCACATGATATTCCTCATTATCCCGTGCGGTCGACTTAAGAGGACCGCACGAAAAAATCGATTTTCGCGTGCCGCCTTTTTAAGTGGACCGCACAGAAAAATACTCTTCCTCTTTTCCCTCTTACTCATTTCAAATTTTACACACACACACACTCTCTCTCTTTCTTTTCCCTTTTTATTTTCTCGGCTTATTTGGTAACTCAAAGGAAAGGGACTGAGAGTTTACATGAGGAAATTAATGGTGAGATTAAGATGAAAATTTTATTTTTAATTCCAATATCTTGTTTGGTAGAGGTGGTGGGAATTGATAGCGAGTTTAGTTGGAGATTAAGTCATTAATGAAAACAGATGGCAGTTATTTGTTTAGGAAAAGTAAAGGAGGAATTTCCTCCCAATTACCACCTCCTACCCAGGTAATGACGGTCCGTTTGGTTGGAGGGAGTTTTTAGGAGGGATTGGGAGTTTAGAGGGATGAGGCTATTAAGTGTTTTGTTTGGTTGGGAGACATGGGAATTTTGGTGGGATGGGGATGGGGAATTGAGGAAGGAACTCCATCCTTTTCAATATCTGGGTAGGGGCAGGTAATTGGGAGAGAATTCCTCCTTTAATTTGTCTAAGCAAATCTCAGCCATCCATTTTTATTAATGACCAAATCTTCAACTAAACTCCTTATCAAATTCCATCACCTCTACAAAACAAGATATTAAGATTAAAAATCAAATTCCCATCTTAATCTCATCATCAATTCCCTCGTGTAAACTCCCAATCTCCTTCCCTCGAGTTACCAAACAAGCGGTGAAAAGGAGGGAGTTCCTTCCTCAATTCCACATCCCCATCCCACCAAAATTTCCATGTCTTCCAACCAAACAAAACATTTAATAGCATCATCCCTCTAAACTCCCAATCCCTTCTTAAAAACTCCCCCCAACCAAACGGGCCGTCTCTCCCCTTTACTCTCCTCGTCCCCTCGATCTCCTCCCTCCCATCTATCTGCCTCTTTTCTCTCCTCCCACCCCTCTCTCTCCTCTCTCTCTCTCTGCCTCTTTCCTCTCCTTCCCTCCCCACCGATCGAGCGCCGCTGCCGCCGACGGCGCGGGAGGCGGCTGCTGGCGGAGGCGCTGCGGTGCGGCTCCGTGAGCGAACGAGCGGCGATGGGCGTGACGACGACGAGGCGGCACCGACGCGAATCCGGGAGCGGCGAGCTTGGGCAGCGGCGGCGGGCGCGACGACGAGGCGGCACCGACGGAGATCCGGAAGCGGCGAGCTCTGGCGGCGGCGGCGTGTTGCTCGCGGCGGCGGGCGCGACAACGATGACGACGAGGCGGCGCAGCCGCGGATCCGGGAACGGCAAGCTCGGGCGGCGGCGGCGTGTTGCTCGCGGCGGCGGGAGCGACGACGATGACGAGGTGGCTCCGCGTGCATGCACAGCAGGCGGGACAACGACGATGTGTGAATCTGGGAGTGGCAAGCTCGGGTGGCGGCGGCATGTTGCTCGCGGCGGCGGTGGCCAAGTCCGGAGGCGGGCGTTTCTAGGGTTAGGGCTAGGGTTTCTTTATTTTTTCGATTTTTTTGGTTTTTTTGTTTCCGTGCAGGTGATATTATTTAACCGCAGTATGCACGGAATAATCGATTATCCTATGCGGTCCACTTAACCTGACCGCACGGAAAAATGATTATCCCGTGCGGTTAGACCGTCCGCACGTGAAAATATTTACTTTTACAGACACTTTGCTCCGACGGGAAAATCTTCGCACGGAAAAATCAATTTAACCGCACGAAAAAATAGTTCTTGTAGTAGTGCGCAGCTCGGGCGGGCGAGACAAAAGGAAAAACAAATTTAAGAACCCGTCCGTTGCGTGCATGATCCATCGCAATTCTTCGGAAGTCTCGGGCGCTGCCCGGCCGGCGCGCGACGACGAGCATGTGTGTATACGTCCATGCCGCGCTCGCGTGCGTCGATATATGATCATCGATCCGATCCGACCACGCCAACCATGGATCCGCGCGAGCTTTCTAGATTTTGGTTCCTCTCGCATGTGCCAGCTGATGAGCTGAACCAGTAGGATGGGGCTGTTTGGTTCATTGCCAAACATTGCCTAATATATCTCATATTACTCACTGATTTGTTCATGGTCATATTTGTTACAATATTTCCTTTTATTCGTGAAGCGAGCTTAGTCAACTGGTTACGTTTCTTGTGGAGAAACCAGTCCATCCGCTAGACTTGAACATGTACTCGTATTTACGGCTAATTATTATTTCAATGGTAGGCGACGTACCCATCGATACCGAGGTATCCATGATGACTTCGTCAATCTTAAGATATAACTCATAGGTGTAGGTTATACGTGTGTGCGTTCATAGAGATGAGAATGCGTGAGCATGTGTTTCTAAAAAAAAAAGCCCTCTTATTTACTATAGTCTCACATGTCATCAACTCAAAAACATGTGGCACACTCTTCTTTTGCTACCTAAAGTGTGGTTTACTTTTTGTTGGTCACAACTTAGTTAAATATGGTAAACAAGTGTAACAAATGATTATAATGTTAGTAACTTATTATAGCATTCAAACAGCCCCCTATCTACTTCCCCCTTCTAATGACACTTAAAATATAATTTTCTCGGACAGCCTCTTTTCTTTTTTAGACGAGCTGAAAGAAGCAGAGTTATTAAGATCGGACCGGTCAGACGGTTCGACCAAAAAAAACCGGAACCAGGGCCCCCGCCAGTCCGGTCCCCTTAACAGATCGGGCGTGCAGTCGGACCGGATGAAACTAGTTAACCTGGGCGGTTTTTTATAAACCGGAGATTAAATCGGGCTGGTTGGACCAGTAATGAGCTGAGAGGAGGGCCCAACTAGCTGCCACCGATGCAGGCGCATGTCCCTCTCCTATGTCCTCTTTTCCCTCCATTCCTCGATGACCCACGACAGAAACAGCTGGCGGGGTTGACGGGAAGTGAGCTGGGCCTGTGATGCGGTATTACGTCGAGAGCAGCCAACAATGCCGGCGCCATGACGGGAGCAGCTGGATGGGCAAATCCGGCACTGCTGACAAAGGAGAGACGAATGGTGGTTACCATGACTGCAGCTAGGACGACCACAATGACAGTGGCGGCTAGGGCGACTATGACGACGGCGGCGGCCTCAGCAACGACATACCCAGGGGCATTTCGCCGGCCAGAGCGACGGCCTGATCGAGCGCCGGCAGCCTCGCAACAGTTGGATCCGGCAGTGGCGTCCTCTGGAATGGAAGATCCATGCGGCCCCGATGACAATGGCTTTTGGAGAGGCAACGGCTTCAGGAATGGTGGTGGCAATGCCTTTTTTTTTTTTTCTAGAAATGGGAGCCTGGGTTTATGTATTATTGGTTTTTTTGGGAATTTTTTTTGCCGATTTTTTTCCGATGGGCGACGTACATAATGTGCCTACGTGTAAAATTACGTCTTTGTATGTGGTTGCGCTGTTCGATTGGAAGAGTCCCAATTTGTGCAGACACTTGCTCACAGGCACGCATTCTGGCCGTATGAAAAAAAATGTTTCTGTAGCAGTAACTATTTTGACATACGGTTGACCATTTAACTTACTAAAACTTTTGTGCAAATTTATGAAAAATGTAAGTTATACTTAAAATGTATATTTAATGATAAACCATGTCAGAACCTGTACAATATAGCAACTTCATGCATTCAAAATTTATCATAAAATATTTTGACATAAAATTTATCATAAATCAATAAAATCTTTTAATTTTCCCACCTACTTTCTCATCTAAACTAAGTCACAACATTGTTTCACTTACTTTTTTAAGTACCAATGTAAAACTCCAAAAATCCTTGAGATGGAGAAAGTATTTGTTCTTCTTTTTATAAAAGGGCATCCCCGGCACTTATCCTTGAACTAGAAGAATATAAAGGTAACTGGATACATAATGTTAGCCATCCATAAACAAAACCAATTTGACTTGCTAAAAAAAAGTCTAGTTACAAATGCGACTGAAAGTACAACCTGCACCTTCTATCGTCATCGTTGTTTTGAGATTTGTGCGTACAACGCAAAATTTAACAAGGCATAATATTGTATTATTCCTCTTTTCAGTAAAGCACAGATCTTAACAAAGCATCCAACGGCTCAGCATGTGTGTCCACATAAACTTGCATTTGTAAAAATCTTTTTGGCATTCTGCTTTTGAAGCTTTGTGTGAATTTTCATGTGATCAGGGAAAAGTGTTGAAATTGCAATCATTCTTCGTCAGCGCTTAAGCTCGCTACAACATAAAGAATGACCAGCAGCACTTCTCTCACCTTGAACTATCAGGTAAAGTGGTTACTTCATGCAACTCAACATACAGAAGAAAAACTAACCGTATACACAAAGCATTAGAGTTCTCCAAAGGAAACTCATCAAGCATGCTCTGGACCCAAATGGGGGACACAAACAACATCCAAAGAGAGAAGAAAGAAGAGTTTGTCAACGAGCTGAGATATGGGGATCCCTTGTTTCCATGCTGATGACCCCACCCATTAACTGACACACTTTTATTTCTTACTCCCTCCATCCCAGAATATAGCAACCTAAAACCGAATGGGGCGTATCCTAGTACTACGAATCTGGACAGCTTGTCCAGATTCCGTCCCAGAATATAGCAACCTAGGACCGGATGGGACGTATCCTAGTACTTGTCCAGATTCGTAGTACTAGGATACGTCCCATCCGGTCCTAGGTTGCTATATTCTAAGTACTAGGATACGTCCTATCCGGTTCTAGGTTGCTATATTCTGGAACGGAGGGAGTACATGGATACTTGGCGTGTCACATCGGATATACGGACAAACATTTAAAGTATTAAACATAGTCTAATAATAAAACAAATTATAGATTCCGCCTGTAAACCGCGAGACAAATTTATTAAGCTTAATTAATCCATCATTAGCAAATGTTTACTGTAGCACCACATTATCAAATCATGGCACAATTAGGCTTAAAAGATTCGGCTCGCGATTTACACGCAATCTGTGTAATTAGTTTTTTAATCTATATTTAATACTCCATGCATGTGTACAAACATTCGATGTGACTGGGTGAAAATTTTTGCGTGGGAACTAAACAGGACCTTAGTATTCATCTGATATGTTCCCCAAAGTCTCCTTTGAAATAGAGAAGTTTTTTTTAAAAAAAAATTACAAAAGCTGAAGTAATTTATAGGAATCAATCGGACAAATTTATGCGTCCTAAAGGATCCTTAAATAGGTGCAACAAACTTGTAAATTGCACATTCCATACAACTTGCTTAAGTATAAACCAAGGCCAAAACAGTCCAGCAATCAATAAGTGGAGTCAAACTAATTTGTGACCTCGTGCTGTTAGATCGGGCCCTGGCGTATTGCTGTGTAGCTGTCCTGTGGCAATCTTGCTGATCAATCAGATGCCAAAACATGTTTGAGACCTCTAGGCGTGTAGGCTCTAATTTACACGATCGATTCATGATAGTACAATTGAATAGATTGGTGCATGGAGATTTCTAGTGAGAGATTGATCGAGAAACTTGCAGTTCAAATTGCAATAGGGTATTTCTATGAGAAAATGATGTTGCATTTACTGCATTAGGGTGTTCCAAATTTTCTTTTGAAATGCAATTTGGTTCTAATGGTGTGATCTCAATAGTTTATAAATCCTATTTCGGATGCATTTTTTTTCAGAAATATTTATATATATGTTACCTATATATGAAATTTACGTCCCGACAATGGCGATGATTTCAGCAGCAAGTTGCCTCTCGCCGACCTCTTGTTTCTTTCGTCTCAAACAGAGGGAAGTGGAATGGAATAAGCACAGCAGAAACCTCGACGCCGAATATAACCACACATATGGGATTATCTGGAAAAAGAAAAATGAAAAACCATGATAAAACTGTGCTAGAGTGGAAGTGAACATTGCATCCATTTTAGCGCCAATGCACCATGTCAGACCATTCAATTGTGGTTTGATTTTTGCAAACTACTGATGAGTTGCAGTAGAGCAAATAATTTATAAATTGTTGCGTGTATTTGTACTTAGCATAATTTGCCCTTATAAAAAACAATCAAAGTTATTCCCTCCATCCCATACTATAAAACACGCACGTATTTTAATATTCAACTATTAAACATTTGACGAACAATTAGTATAATATAATTTGAATTTATTTGCTAAAAATAATATCATCGAATTGGTATTTGAATTTATTTTCATATATTATAATTTTGATGCTATAAACCTTATAGTATATAATTATAAGTTTAAAAATTAGTTTCATACACCGTGCTAAATTTAACCTTATAAGACGTTTTGATATTGACCAAAGTCAAACTGGTTTAAGTTTGATCAATTTTGTAAAAAAAAGTAGTAAAATTTTCAACCCAAGACAAAGTTATTATGAAAATATATTCAATTATTGATTTGAAACTAATTTAGTATTATAAATATTACTATATTAGTTTATAAACTTAGCCAAACTTAAAATAATTTAACTTTGATCAAAGTTAAAACGTGTTACTGGACGGAGGGAGTGAAAAGTTGCTGCTTGTCGGCTTCCTAGTAAACCGCGCCCCACACATCACCTCCCTCCCTATATAGGCATAGCTAGCTTAGCTCACCCCCAACATCGCACGCACGCACGCGCTAGAGAAACTAAAGAGAGAGAGGTCGATCAGAAATCAATGGAGGCGCACGTGGAGAGGGCGCTCCGGGAGGGCCTGACGGAGGAGGAGAGGGCGGCGCTGGAGCCGGCGGTGATGGCGCACCACACGTTCCCGCCCTCCACCACCACCGCCACCACGGCGGCGGCAACGTGCACATCGCTGGTGACGCAGCGCGTGGCGGCGCCGGTGCGCGCGGTGTGGCCCATCGTGCGCAGCTTCGGCAACCCGCAGCGGTACAAGCACTTCGTCCGCACCTGCGCCCTCGCCGCCGGCGACGGCGCCAGCGTCGGCAGCGTCCGCGAGGTCACCGTCGTGTCCGGCCTCCCGGCTTCCACCAGCACCGAGCGCCTCGAGATGCTCGACGACGACCGCCACATCATCAGCTTCCGCGTCGTCGGCGGCCAGCACCGCCTCCGCAACTACCGCTCCGTCACCTCCGTCACCGAGTTCCAGCCGCCCGCCGCCGGCCCCGGCCCCGCCCCGCCGTACTGCGTCGTCGTCGAGTCCTACGTCGTCGACGTCCCCGACGGGAACACGGCGGAGGACACCAGGATGTTCACCGACACCGTCGTCAAGCTCAACCTCCAGATGCTCGCCGCCGTCGCCGAGGACTCCTCCTCTGCTTCGCGGCGGCGCGACTAGGAGAGGCCTCGTCAATAAATCGTCGTCGTCGTCCATGGCGGCGGCGGTGTCGTGTTATTTGTCACTTCTTCTTCTTCTTCTTTTTACTTTTTTTTTTAGTTTTGCTTTTCCCATGTTTTTTTTTCTTTTGCTTTCCTTTTGGTTTTCTTGTAAAAACAACTGTTGTGGCATAAGGAAGCCTGTTTTGGTTTGTACGGAGCAAGGGATTTACATTTCCGATTCACCATGGTGGTATCACTGTTTTCGACAAATTTCAACAGCATTTTGATAAGTTTTGACCAAATTGCGATCAAAATTACTATTTTTAAATTTTAGTTTGTCAAAAACCATTCGAAATCACTCCCGAAAATTGATTTCGAGCCACGTCGATAGGTAAAAGAATATCGTGAAAACAATTGTTTTCGGCGGTAGATTAAACCTTGGCACAAAGTAATAACATTTTAGGATTACGTGTATGTTTGGTAGAGCTCCAACTCCTAAATTTAGATTAGGAGTTGAGTCTGGAGTAAAGCTGTGCCGCTGTCTAAACCCAGTTCCACCTCTCTAGTTAATTTTGTGAGAGCACTCCACTCAGCTTCGCTCCCATTTCAGATGGAGCTAAAACTATTTGGCTGGAGCTGTAGCTGTGCCAAACAAACCAATTACAAAACGCGAAGTGATTTTAGGGTGAAGAAGAAACTGAAAAGAAAAGAAGTGGTATTTTGAAAAAAAAAATTGATGTTTGGGAATCTAAACATTATTTTTGTTTAAAGTTTTTGGTAGGAGGCACATCCTACCAGTGCTAACCGATAGACCTGAAATTTTAAAAATATTGAACCCTGATAGTACTCAGGGTTAAAATGATAAGATAGGCAAAGGCAAACGAAATTCTGATGCACGCATGGTCATTTGTTCTTTGCTGTCATCTGCCCTTTTTTTTTTGTTCAATTCAGAGTTTCAGGTGGTTGATAACAGCAAGCAGGATGAACTCAAGACGGTGTTGCTTTCAATTCCCATTTCATTTCTCAAATTCTTTTTTTTTATTTCGGATAAAATCATTTCTTAATTTCATCTTAAATCCAAACAAATATTGAAGGTACGGCCGGCCTGAAACCTCTGGAATTTCCTGCCCAACAATATGTCAATAACTTCGAGTATCTCGTGAGACCCTTTTTTTTTTACAGTTATCAGATAAATGCTACTAAAATATAAACATCATATATATAATGATGCCTTTTTAATTCGAAAAGATTCCAAATACCTCTGATGAGCTGACTCTAAATAAAAATTTTAGGTGAGCAAATTCTGACCTGATGAAAAAGAGTTGTTGCAAAAAGCAGTGGCCACCATTGCTTGGGTAGCCAAAGCAAAGCACTAAGCACACACAGAAAAACAGCAAGAACAAGCGGCATAGATTAGGACAAGTCACTCCCTAAAGCAAAACTGATCATGTACATGCAAATATATAGGTAGCTGAATAATTAAATTAGCTGAATAGTTATAGTTAGCTTATTGGGTGGCTAAGCTGCTTTGTGGGGTCACTGTATGGCCTCATGAGTCTCACACTTTTTTTCCAGAAAAGAAAAGGAAAAAGGCATTTTCCCTCCAAAGGAGATGACTGTATCCATCAATTATATGTGTTAATGCTTATCACACTTTATGCAAAGTTTGACCAGAAGTATGATTATTGATAATAGGTGAATTCAGGTACCAATAAATTGTGTATTCGTGACTATGGAAGAAAATAAGTCAAACTTGCCTCAAAATATCTAAGCAGATCAAAATTGTTTTTTCTCCTAACAAAATGTCTTAAGACATTGTTCCAAACGGAGCTACTCTCTCCGGTTTCATTTTAATTGATGTTTTGGACAATGACACGAACTACAAAATATATCTTTGACCTTATTTTTCTATTATAATATATACAATAAATAAATAATAAATAAATGCATGTTTACTTTTATTATAGTGCTTTGAAAGACAAATCTATATATGTTGTTCTAGTTTCTTTAAACTAAATATTTTTAAAGTTATTAATGGTCAAATTTATAAAAGTTTGACTCCAACCTTGTCCAAAACGTCAATTATTATAGAACTGGAGGGAGTAACTCTCAATTTTCTCTTGATCGTATTTCGTAGGACAAAGATATTTCTCCCCTATAAATTTGTGATACCTCTAATATAAACTAGCGCAAGATACCAAAAGTATCACAAATCAATATTAAAAAGGTCATCAATTCCTCCAATCAAATTTACTTGATGTTGGGAGAACCAAGTTAGTATACTCCATTTGACTAGAGCGAGTATATTACTTCATGTTATCTTTTCAATATAAAAACCCTCTTCCGTTAATCAATATATAAACTACTCCTTTCATTTTATATTATAAATCATTTAACTTTTTTCAAGTTTGACTAAGTTTATAGAAAAAAATAGCAACATATATAACATTAAATTAGTTTCATTAAATTTAATATTGAATATATATTGATAATATGTTTGTTTCATATTAAAAATGTTAATATATTTTTCTATAAAGTTGATCAAACTTAAAAAAGTTTGATTAAGAAAAAAGTCAAACGACTTATAATATGAAACAGGAGAGCATAAAGCACTGAAAGCATTTGCCATAAGTTTTTGATTCAGTGGTTTCCAACAGATTGCGCATAGCACACAGACATTTCTGCTGAAACGCTGTCAAAGAAAGTTTGTTGAAGATGCAAAGCTGCATAAGCAGCATCAATGCATGGCCCATGGCACCTGCCCCATGCAATGGATAATTCCAGCCTTATGTCCTCACACACCAAAGTCAACTCCCAACTATAGAAAAATATCTCTGTGCCACGGCAGAAGTCAACGCAGTACACTAACAAGACAAGTCAATGCCATGAAACCTAAAAATAGATAAAAGATCTACATATGTTAGTCAGTCAGTGCATGGCTCGTTCATCTTCCTTATCTAAACTGAAAGCAGGGTTAGTGGATGACACTTTAATTTTAACCCCTGTTTCTTTTTAGCACATGTGCACCAAATTTTCAGGCTGTGAAGTCGATTGTTTATAATGAAATTCATTCCGGTTTTAATTTTAAAAAGCTACAACAAATTATTAGAAATTATAGGTCAAATAACTACGAACTACAAAATCATGCCTTAATTGAAAACAAGCAAACTACTTCATCTGCGTTTGTATATGTAGTCCTTATCTTTCTCAAACTAGAAAACAGAAAATCCGAAAACAACAGTCGTTCATTTACCGATTGAATTTCGTTAACCTCCTTGTTGACGAAAACCACAACAAAAGATAATATCAGAGAGTAACTGAGTTGTAAATTAGTCATTTACTCAAATCTTGCTACCGCCTAAACCATCGAACGGATCCGGTGGGGACCACCACTAAGGACACCACACTAATAGGAGACTTCCAACACAACGCATCTAAGAAGATCATAACATTTAGGATATCGTCGTTACTATGTTTTTACCTGGATTAAAATGTTTTGTTATGCAGAATTAAGTTAATCGATAAACAGATGGAAAATAACGAATTTTTGTAAGTTTTTCTTTAATTCATGAACTGTCTATCATCACTCGGTGCTAAAGTTTAGTATGCAACACATTAGGTCAAAATAGATTAATAGGCATATCCTACATTATGTGAGGTTGTTGATTGTCACCTAGTGGCTACAATTACTTGTACAAAATAATTTTAGAAGATCATTCTTATTTCAGACTGATCTTTTATCGCTACAAAAATAATGTGCTTTGCTCTAACGTTCCACGTTAAAAAAAATGCTCTGCTTGTTATCCCACTTGGTTTTCAGGGTTTATACTTTATAAACCTCTATAGATCCTAAGGAGCATAAAAGGCAAACAAGAAGAATGAGGCCCATCGAGTTGTTGGGTTCTTTTCCACACTTGGATTCAAAGGCTGTCCCAAGCCCATTGTATAAAATGAACCTTATACTTATGTACCGGTAGCCCAAATCGATGTACTGGTCTTTTTTTCATGCCCAACTTTTGTAGGAGGCGGATTTTTTAAAATATATATTTTTTTTCCTCCTCTTTGCTGATGTTACCGAGCTACATTGCAATTTCAATTCTCTTACCGAGCTACAAAAGAAATGCAGCTTGTTTTAAGAACTCTGGATTTTAAGAAATAGCTCGTGAATAGGCAGCTAATGAGAATCTAAAAAATTAAATTTCTCAGCTTCTTTTCATTTTTTTTTTAAAAATATGACTATATACTACCAAGATCTAAGTGAGAATCAATAATATTGCTTAGGGTGTTGAAGGTTCTAGGATAAGCTATAGTTACCAGAAGTAGAGCTAGATAAATAATGGCTCGTTAGCTCGCTACTCGACTCTTTTAGAATTGCCAACAAACTGAGCAAGGGGGGTTTAGTGTTACACATAACAAGCCTCATGAGCCAAACAAGCCATGGGAAAACTGGCAACCTAGGAATCCAACATTTAGAGATATATTTTGTATCTTATCTTAGTCGGTTTCTCTAATTATTTCCCGATTCTGATTCTACAAGTCGGATGTAGAGATAAGGAAGTATTGTCTCTATATGTACTCATGGCCCGTGATTAATCGAATTATCACGCTGACTCAATTACGCTTTCACCAACTAGCAGCTAGGGATTTAGGAGTCTTCTTTTGCTCGGCTCATTTACCAGCTCAAGGTCTTTTAGCTCGTTAGAATAATGATCCGAGCCAAGCTAACTCAATATCGACTTCTAACCAGAAGCTTTTCAAACAGAACCATGGACATACACTACATCATGCATGTAAGTTCATGCCCTGCAATATCCATCCTAGGTGCACCCTCTTAGATTGATACACACAGAAATAGACAAAGACCAGGGATAAGATCATATGCCTTGCAAAAAAAAAAATCTTAAATAAACACACTCACATATATGTATTTGTGCACATCTAGATTTGAATGTGCATCCATAACCTCGTACAACAATAACATATCAAGAAGTGGTTTTTTTCTCCCATGAATCTACCACATCAGTTTCGTCGATCGAGAGAATACTACCTTTTCCTTGTGCTGGTAGGATTGTTAGCTAACGTGGCAATATCCTAGGAGATGAAAGGTGTCCCAATCCATCCTTTGTTCCTTGTATACCCAGATGAGTCCACATCCATGCACATACAAGCATGACTCCTGCCATTTCAGATATGATCGGTCAGCTCAAAGCATACTTGTGTTTTAATTCCTAGCAGTTTCATATGTGTACCAATGCTCGATAGAGTTTCTATTATATTATCAAAATAGCTAAAAAAATGAGTCAAAATTCTCACATTAATCAAAGAAAACGAATAAAATCCCAATTTATTACGGTGGGTTCATTTTATAATAGCGTAGATTGTCCAATAATAGTTGTGTGCAACGTACAATTTTATAAATGGTAACAAGAGCTAAGAATTTTATATCAAATGAAATCTTACTATCGAAATCTATTGTATATCTACAATATTACAACCCTGCATACCAAAAAAAAAAGAAACTAAGGGAGTGTTCGTTAGGTGGAGATAGGAGAGATTGTCTCTCGTTTTCCGCGCGCACGCTTTTCAAACTACTAAACGGTGCGTTTTTTGCAAAAAATTTCAATAGGAAAGTTGCTTTAAAAAATCATATTAATCCATTTTTGAAATTTAAAATAGTTAATACTCAATTAATCATGAGCTAATGGCTTACCTCGTTTTGCGTATCTTCCCAATCTCCTCAATCCCCTTCTCTTCAAACACTCCCTAAGAGTTGTATATCGAATCCAGTACAACTAGTCTCATCACGCAAAACTGAACGGAAAATCCAGTTATATCATAAACAAAAAAAATAATTTTTCCAAAGACTCCAACTTGGATGCACACGCCAAATCAGGTGCCAAACAATTCATGTGCTGATGATGTTTTTTTCCTCTTTTTCAAAATCCGTGAACCATATACAGGGAGATGGGGCATGATTGCAAACAGGCAAGGAACAGTGCAATGCAAAAAGGGATCCAATCAGCAACAGAAGCATGCTTGTACTTGTGGCCACTTCAAAATCTTTCAAAACCCTTTCCCTTTTTCTTTTCGGTTTTTTTACCTCCATCTGAGTGACTGCGAATCTGTCATGGTGTTTTCCATCACACTGAACAGCCAAATGTGATGGCTTTTTTGACCCTGCTTGGTTCAGGTTCAATCTTCAGAAATGTGCACTGGATATCTATCTACATTTTGCAGACATTGTAACTGCAAGATTCTCCCTACCTGGATTTTGCCAACTTCATGAGTTCAACCCAAAGATGCCTAGGGTGAACTCTGTTCACTCCATATTTTAGGTTTGTTACAAGTCAAACTTCTTTAACCTTAACCAAGTTTATAGAAAAAATATAGTGATATCTATAGCATCAAATTGTTTTCATTAAATCCACCACTAAATATGTTTTTACAGCATGTTTTTTATGTGTTCGAAACACTACTACATTTTTCTAAAAACATGATCAAACTTTGTTCGATTTAGGACAAACTCAATATGACTTTAATATAGAACAAGAGAGTAGTACACTTTTATATGCATGGATAATTGGGTTGGGTAGAAGAGTCACGTTGAAAAAAATGCTCAGATCAATGGAATATTCGTCGATCAATCATAAGCTCAAAATGGACTGTTTTCTTTTTTCTTAAAATAAATGAGGCAGATCCCTGCCTTTGGACTGGAACTATCTGCATGAAACTATTCAGTCTTGGTCCCGTGGTAAACAAGAACTGTAGCAAAATCTGCAATCTGTCAAAAAATGAGGAGACAGAAGAGGGCAACACACTGTCTATCCATTGCAATTTTGAGGCACCAGAAATTAACTTATATAAATTTATATATGCAAGGAAAAACCTCAAGGTTTCATAGATAAGGGCCTGATCAGTAGTGGACACTCGTGACTAGTTGGCCCTTAGCTGCAAATGCAGAAGCTCACAAAGCAGAGCTCAGATTTTGTACATCTGAAACTTGCTAACTTTCTAAACTGAGCACATCTTTGCTGCTAAGATGCTCAATCTCTGCTGCGCCATCGCTTCCTCCGGAGGTCTTCTTGAGCTCCTCGTACATGTCCTCGATCATCGGCTTCCACAGTCGGACGCGGGCGTTTATGAACCAGTTTGAGACCTGAAAATGCAAAACATTAATACTATTTTTTCCCCTATTTTTCCATAAGTAGGAAAACAATTCTCTGATCTTGTGAAGTAGTAGTAGCTTGGATGTTTGATGATGAAAGATTGAATGAGGCTTCACCTGGCTCCTGCTCAGGCCGCTTCTCGCCGCCAGCATGTCCTTCTCGCTGTCCTTTGGATACCTGAATCAGCATTTGACATATTTTCATTGAACTTGTGTTGCTTTGAATCATGATATGGTCCATTGGATGATTAATAGTAGTAGATATGGTCCATTGGATGAGAAAAGATGAAATGTCTAGACCACTTCTACCATCAGTAGAAACTACTGTTAAAACAGTCATATTTTCATACCTATAGGAAAATATATTTGAGATGTCAAACTTCAAAAAAAAAAAATGATTACAACTTGACTCCAAGAGTTTGAACTGGTTCCATGACATCTATCCAATCAATACCGTTCGAAGCAAACTTCTCTATAAGATCTTCAGCACTCAAGTTAACATACTACTCCTACTTACAATATGTTTGTGCGATTGTATCATGTTATTAATGTCCATTCTAAAGGATAGAAAGAAAGGTATTAATGTCCACTCTGAAGTCTAAAGGATAGAAATTACTCCAGTAATCAAGTTATATTTGTTCTATACTTCAAAGAATGGACATTATCACATTAATACCTTTTTTTCTGTGTGATTGTATCATGTTTCTGATTTGAAACTTTTTTTTTCAAAAAAAAAAAGAACTCTAGTAAGAGTGATGATCATGAGCACAGAGTGATCATTTGTGACATGTGAGAGTTGAGAGCAAGAAGAAGAAGAGATTATAAGAATGCGGGTTGAGCTTACGGGCGGAGGAAGTTCTCGAACATCCAGGCCTTGAGCACGGCGACGGACTTCTCCGGCAAGCCGCGCTGCGGCCGCCACGACTGCTGGTCACCTCGCCGGAGCTGCTGCATCGCCCAGTGCTTCTGGATGAACGACGACTCCCAGCTCCGCTCCTTCTCCTCCAGCGCCGCCGCCGCCGCCGACGACGACGACCTCGCCGTCGCCGCCGCCACCAGCTGTCCCATCACCCGCCTCCTCACCCTCCTGTACGCCGCCGCCACCGCCCGCCCCGCGAACGCCGCCGTCAGCCCGCCGCCGCCGCCGCCGGTGGAGCGCACCATGCTGTTGAACCTCGCCGCCGTGCTCTGCATCTCCTCGACGCATTGGTTGCACTTCTCGTCCACCTGCATCTCATCGCCATTGGTTCGCACCAAGAAACGGTTTCTTAGGTGTTCGACGAGGAACTGAGCCAAGAACTCACCAGTTGGAGTAGCTTCCTCAGACGCTGCGCCTCCGCCGCCCACCTCGCACCGCCGCTCCCGGGTGAGGCATCCTCCGTCGGCGCCGTCGTGATCCTCGCCGAGAAGCCCGACGAGAGCGCCTGGCTCGCCTCGCCGCCGTCGACGCCGCTGGCCGCGTCCGCGGCGACGTCTTGCAGCAGGCAGGCGACGAAGCCGTTGAGCAGCTCCTGCGCGACGTGCGCGAGCACCGCTGACCGCGACACCACCTGCGAGAAATGCGGAGGCGCCCTCGAGTGGTACGCTTGCCTTAGCTCGCCGGCGGCGGCGGCTGCGGCGTCGTCGCCGTGAGTGGGGTGGAACAGGGCGGCGCCGGCGCCGGCGGCTGCTGCCTGGTGGTAGCCGAGGCCGCCTCCGCTGCTCACGTGGGTTAAGCCGGAGCAGCTCACTTCCGACGACGCGTTCGCCATGCTGCTCGGGGACGAACACTTGGTGGCGCCGAGCCGCAGCGACAGCTCGCTCGCCGCGGGCGCCGCCGCCGCCACGGAGCTCGCGGCGAAAGGGCTCAAGAACCCGGCGCCGGCGCCGGAGGAGAACCCGGACAGGTAGTACGCACCATGTAACGGCGCAATGCCGGACCCTCCATAGATCCAGCCGCCGCCGCCGGCGTCGCCGCACGGCGCCTCTCCGGCGAGCCTTCCCATCCTCGACGCCTGAGCAATGGTGACACCCGACGACGTTCCACACCCAAACTCCACCGAACCCAGCACCGAGTGCACGGTGCTGCAGCTCTCCGCGCCACCGGCCGCGGCGGCGGCGACCGCGGCGGCATTCACCTCCTCCTCCGACACGCTCCCCTGCGGCCGCCGCAGAGGCACGGCGCACGCCAGCTCGTCGCCAACAGCAGCCACCGGCGAGGCGACCAAGAACTCGCCGTCCACATCCCCGAACCCAAAACCAAAGAACGGCGCCGCCGCCTCTGCACCGCCGCCGCCGGCGACGAAGCAGCAGCTGATGGCGTCGAGGCCCAGCTGGTGATAGGATGGATTGCTGCTAGTGGACATTGTCACTATAGCTTACTAGCTCCAACTCCAAGCTTGTAGTAGTAGTAGGAGTAGATAGCTCTTCACTTCCAAATCTAAAAAAAGACCTGCAAGGGCAGCAGCATGCAGGAGAAGGAGAAGCATGAGCCAAATTATTGGTGACATGAACACTGCTGCTGATGCTGCTGCTCAGAGACAAAGCCATGGCAGGGCAGCAGATTGTTCCTTCCTTCCTTCCTTCCACAAAAGCATATGGTAAAGATTAAAAAAATTGAGATAAGTAGAGTAAAGGTAATCTAATCCACTGTGCACTAATCAGTTCTTGCAATTATCAGTTGTGCCTGCCCATCCATATGCCAAAGCCATATACTACTAGGTTTATAGAATGAAAGAAAAGATCTCCTAGCTACTCCTATAGTAACCACACGACATATACTCCTACATAGGCAAAGATATCTAAAGCATGCAGTAAAACAGGATATATGTTTGATGATTAATTACTAGGAAAGGAATTGCAGCACAAGAAAAGAATCAGAATAAACAAATGGAGAAAAAAGAGGCTAGCTAGAGGGGATTAGTCACAGTAGACATTCTTGTAAGAAAATGTGCTTATCCGGTTTCTATCACTTCCACATTCCCAGTACCTAGTGGAAGCAGCCAGTGGCACAAAGATCAACAGTGAAATCACTAGAGATCTTACCATTATATTCTAATCCGTACTTAAAAGAAACAATCGATAAATGGGAAGAGAATAAACACACCAAACTAAAAGCTTGAGCTCATGTGTAGGAAGCATCAACCACACACTTCAATTTCAGAGTTAACAGGGGAAAGAAAGAAATAAAAAAAGAATCTTGCTGGATGTAGCACATTGCATTCTAACATGAGTTAAGCACGGCTAACTAAGAACCATGAAACATTTCATAGAAGAATAATATGAGCTCTCTCAATCGAAAAGGTCAAAGGAGAAAAGAAACCATTGCCGCCAAGAAACACTACCATGTCAAACAGAGCACAAACTGCAGCCCCAAAAAAACTCTGAACAAGAGCATAGCCTTGACAGAGTTGAGTGAACAGATTGCAAGAACGTAGTAACCAAAGCTCAACCTCAAGCATGGCGATCCATGAGCAAGAAGAAGAAGAAGAAGAAGAAGAAGAAGGGTCCTGAAATGGAAAGAGGGGCGTTTCCTAATAAAACGGCAGCAAGGCGACTCGCTTACAACCTTCTTATATTAAATGCCCCAGGCGAGAAGCAGGGAAGCAACCGGGGTCAGGGACTCAGGGGAGAGCAGGGGACGCCATGATTACCATCAGGGCAGAGAGAGAAAGAGAAGATGAAGCTGCATTTTTTGCAGTTTTGCATGGCATGCAATGCAATGCAAGGCTCCAAACCCCCACTTGGAGAGCAGCTAGGGCCCCTCTGATCTTGGGCTCTGATCAGGGAGATTTGGGGCTCTCTCATCATCACCATTCACAGGAAAACCAGCCTGGGTCCCACCTAGGAGCTAGGAGCAGTTGCATTTAATTTGCTAGTATAGGGTGGAACAAATTGTGGAAATGATGATTTTTTTTTTGAAGGGCCAAGTTGAAATAGTGGGGGTCCCAATTCTAGAGGTGTGTTTTGAGGGAGTACAATACAAATTTAGGTTAGGGCACTTTTGAAAAGCGATATTTTAAAGATCACAGGAATAGAAAATATGTAGGATTAGAATATCGGCGCTTGTAAAATCATTAGGATTTAAAAACACATAGAAATTGTTCAAACATGTTGTTTGGTTGGTTCATGGAAAAAAGAGCAAAGGAATTTAGTGGGAGAGACACAAAATGAGATTTTGTATGAGGTTGGACCTTATGTCAGAAATTCTTCAAAATCCTTGTGAGTTGAGCCATTTTATAGGATTTTGATAGCGTCATTCCTCCTTTGTTCCAAAAGCACACAAAAAAAAGTTTCAATAGGATTTATATCCTCCAAATTTCCTTTGTTCAAAGGAGTTTAATAAGCCAAACTTTTGGAAGATAAAGATAAATATTATAAACTTTTTTGATAGGTATATCCTGCTACTGCTACCTCTCAAGAGCTGTAAAGTTGCTTGAGATAAAAAAAAAAGATGGTGGTACACTAAAAGTTGAGTTCTTATCAAATTTAGCTAAACGGTTTTCAAAATTATTAAAAATTAGTAGAATTATGATGGTTGAAGCATGATTGGTTGGATACTTGGATGCCTTATAATACCAACTAAATATACCCTTGTACCTGAATAATGTCTGCATTATGTAGGCTGTGTTAGTTTCCGATGAATGGATGAATACACAGGCTTCCCAACCTTGTATTCCCTCCATCCGAACATATAGCAACATGGTATTGGATTAAACGTAGCAGACTAGAATCTGGAAAGGCCCCCTATCTCGATTCATAGTACTAAATTGTATCAGATTCAGTATTGAATTGCTATATTTTAGGATGGAGGTATAATACGACGACCAAAAAACTATGAGCCCGTTCAGATTTGTGCCATTTTGAACCACATCATTTTGGTAAAATTGGTAAACATGTAGATGCATTTTGTTTGCTACCAAAAAATGGTAATGCCTAGAGAATTTTGGCAATAACGGCTGTGATCGGCAGCTTGTTGCTAAAATTGCAACCGCTACAACGTAATACATATAACTTATGTATTGTGGCGGCAGATGAAGCTGCCGCCACAACTATGCCACCGAACAGGCTCAACACATTTAGCCCGTCCTACCAAAATTTGGGAATGTTGCCAACTTGCTAAAATTTTGGTATTGCCAAATTTTAGAAATGTTCATTTTGGTAGTAATCTAAACAAACTCTATATATGAGTATCTTTATAATACTATTCCAAATTCATTTTTCAACTTTATAATAGTTAACCCATTCATTTTGTACCCTCAAATAATTATTCAAAATCATTCATCTATTCAACCATTTAGTACAAATATATCCTTCATGAGGACCTAATACCAAAATTGTTGTGTGAAAGGGCTTTGGATTTTTTTTTCTAAATTACTTAATGGCTGGAAAAATGAATGATTTTGTTATAACTCTTCATTGAATTAACTTATTATAAAGTTGAAAAAATAGATTTAAAAAAGGTTCTACAAGAAAAAAAATCAAACATATAGAAAGTTTATGTTAAATAGTAGCTCCGAAAGTGTGCGTGTTAATCTATTTTTTTCATTCCTTAAATAAACAACTGGGCGGTGCTCTTTATACTGGAATTGGGTGATGCCTTTGCCCATACCATGATACATGCACAGTGTGGCTGTGGTGATGCAACAGTAGCAAAGCAAAAGACATAGCATGGGATGGGAGCCCCCTTGTTTTGGGGAAAATAAATATGTAGTGCAAACCACAAATATAGTGGAAACTTAGAAACTACTGTTGGATCGAGAAATCGAGAAATAAATGTTCGAGATTCGGCCACGTCACTATGAGTTAAAATTTAACTCACAGATTTACTCATGAGTTAAAATTTTACAGGGAGTTAAATTTTAACTTATAGTGACGTGAACGAAACTCGGACGTCCATTTCTCGATCCAATAATAGTTTACAAGTTTCCGCTGCATATACGATTTGCACTACATATTTTCCCTTGTTTTGGATCATGGACATGGTAGGGCAGGGGTATGTTTAAGAGAGGACGACACGTACAACAACAGTAGCACTACAGCCCGCTATATATGGTTGTAGATAACAACATAACACGAGCTTTATGGGACTTATCACCTCATGATTGTCTCCCCATCTAGGACAAACCCTGAACCACTAAATTAATCCATTCTTGTTCATTCTAAAACTGTATTTTACCTAACCAGCAACGTCAACCCATAAATGATTACTATTCGTTTATGTCACTGTCTCGATCGTACTATATTTGTTTATTTTAGAACAAGAAAGTATATAGTATAAGTATATTGTATTAGCTATTGGGTTGGGTCAGGTGGAGCAATGACATTAAAAGATAGAGACTACTAATTCGTGAAGCTTTCCCCCTAGGCGAACACCAGTCTACACCCAAACAACCTTATCCTTGCATCTCCTCTCCTTCAACCGTGTCATGCTCGTGCCCGGCTTCTCCCACCAATCATTCGCACACTCAAAGTTGCAGCGGATGGGCCACCATCGCCGTTCCTTGTCATATTACTCCCTATTAATAGGACAGTTAGCAAGCTCAGTTGAGCAAAAGTTTCATCCATTGCTCCCTGCCCTATTCCTCCTCCTCCCTACAATATTTCTACTCCACGGCAGGATGGTGGCACGCCGCCGCAAGGCCTTCTCCGATGAGACGGCAGTTAGCTCAAGCTCCCCTTTCTCATGGTGTGCTTCTTCCCCTGCCTCATCAAGATTCCGATGATATCCCCTTACCCTAGCAAGTTTGGTTTGATATTCATCCTGACCATGGGACATCGGTGTTTCTTCCCTCCGCACCGACGAGCCCCGAGGCTCATCCTCACCAATGGCAACAAGGCGGACAAGAAAGTTTTGGAGTTTGAAGTTGAAAGTTTTGCGATTTTGAATTTAAAGTTTGATCTCTTGAATGGAAAGTTTTGGGGGTCTAGGTTGAATTGAAATTGGGAGAATTTTTGTTAGGAAGTTACAGGCTTTGGATGTAAAGTTTTTGAATTCTTAGTTTGAAGTTTCATATCTTCAATAAAAAAGTTTTTTTTTATTATTTTGATTGAGAGGTTTACCAATTCACTATGAAGGTTTCCATACTTTTGAATTGAAAGTTTTGATCGGATTAAAAAGAAACCCTTCGGACCACCTACGAAGATTCACATGGAATCGCGTTAGAATCCATTCACGGGGAACGGTTGCCTGCCACACGAGGGAACGATGCATTAATTCTTTTTTTTTTTGAGTGCGCGCAAGAATCAAAAGTTGCGAGCATGCACCAAATAGCATTCCTGAAAGATAATAACTCTTTGAACTCATCTCTTGGAGTTTGGGGGATGATATCAATAGTAGGGGTTAGCCGATCTTTCGGTGAGACAAGATAACTATGATTTATAGAAAAACCTTGACGATCCAACTAATAAAGGATATGAAAGTGAGGGAGGGCTACGGCTACCCAGGAAATAAGGGCACCTTTGAATCGAAAGATTTATGTAGTAATTTCATATGATTCAAATCCTATAGGAATATTTTCTAATTGGTCCTTTGATTCAAAGGATTGAAGCCTTTACAAATCCAATGAAATTCCTATGGAATGATACTTTACATGTGGATTTTGGAGGAATCTTAGCAAGAGCTCCAATCTCTTAGAAAATTTACTTTGAGTCTATCTCTCTCATCTAATTCCTGCGGTCCAATCAAACAATCATTCCTATGTTTTTCCTATGTTTTGCAATCCTTTGTTTTACACTTCTACAATTCATGTCAAAATTCTGTGTTTTTCTTATTCCTCCGTTTTTTTTAACCTGTGATTCAAAGTGATCCTAAGATCATGAATGGCTACTACACTGCTACTCCTGTTGTAAGTGTAGTATTCATAGCTAGTAGGAGTAGCTAGCAACCAGCTTCTTGTGGCAAGCAGTGTTGCTCACTTTTGCCGTTGGTCGAGCAGGTGCAAAGCATGCATTGTAATGCAGGCACACGGTGGGAGCGAGTGGAATGGCGTGCAGATGGATGGATGCAGGGAGAGGCCAAGGCGATGCGTCCAAACCCCAAAAGCAACGAGTGAAGCAAAGCAAAGCATGCAGCAGCAGCAGGGTCAGGGTGTGGCAGCAGCAGCAGCCCACAGTGCGCATGCACAACACACACACACGCGCGCGCAAAACACACATGCCAATCAATCACCACACTTCAGCACATGTGTTTTTCTTTCTTTAGGTGTGTTTTCACGGTAAAATTGGAAATTTGGTTGAAATTAGAACGATGTGACGGAAAGTTGGAAGTTTGGCCGAGTTTAGTTCAAAACTTTTTCTTCAAACTTCTAACTTTTTCATCACATGAAAACTTTTCTACACACACAAACTTCCAAATTTTCTGTCACATCGTTCCGTTCTAATTTCAACCAAACTTTCAATTTTAGCGTGAACTAAACACACCCTTTGTGCGTAAAAAAGTTTTGGTGTGATGGAAAAGTTGGAAGTTTGAATAAAAAAATTTGGAACTAAGGCTCTGTTTAGTTCCAAAGTTTTTTTTTCCAAACTTCCAACTTTCTATCACATCAAACCTTTTATACACAC